AATACAGTTTTCGGGCATTTCCGCCAGATTAGCGAATTGAAACATTCATTTGCATTTTGTGTCATTTCGACAACAATGTTCAAGTTTTTGTAGTGCATCCGCAATGTGTACTGGCAATGGTTGATGCGATCTTGGAGCCATGGGTATCTCACCCCTCGCAACAGCTGACTGATAATAGTACCAAGATTCTTTTCCCGGAGGACACAGACCATGATGTGGGCTATTGTCCGTTGATTTACTGTGCAGTAAAATAGCCCAAATTCTTTTGCTCATTGTTTTTACATCTCCTGCATTATTTGAGATTGCATTTCGATAGTAGCTACCCCATTGAAGCATGCATGCTTTTGCAGTTTTCCCTTGCCGCCAACTTTCATACCTTCTGCCTTCTTGCGTGTTGCAAATGTGTCCAAGCTTCTAAACATGCATTTCGCGATATGGTTAATGCACTCTTCCTTTGTAAATTGACAGTCTGGCCCGTAAACTTTAGTTGCATTTAGATTACTTAGTCTTTGCATCACCATCTGACAAAACAGTTGTGTATCGCAAACCGTAGTTGTCTATACTTCTGTTCCAAAGAATAAGTGCAGCCTTGCTTTCCATACTGCATGCTGAGCCGTCATGGTTTGCCTGGCATTCGTTTTTGTGTTCTTCAAACCACTCATCAAATTCAGCCTGTGATTTTGTGTTTTTTGCTAATGTACAACAATGACAAAAATTACTCAAAAGTTCAAAGTCAATAGCTAAGCCAGTCATCAGGTCAATAACCACAGAAACTCCATAATGAGATGTGCGGCCTCGTCTATGCCATGTTCCGTCGTATGTAACAGCAACGTCAATTATACGCTGATCTTTCAATTCAGGAAATTTTACTTCATATACACTCCGTACATGTTGAGCTGCTTTATTGGGTGTTCTTTTTACTACAGCTTCACAAGTATCTTTTAATTTCTTTACATAATTTGTATATGTATTCACAGCTAAACCTTTCATATTGAAAGTCCTACAGAAATCCTGCATTCCAGCATGGCCAACACCAATGTTTCTCATTGCAAGTACCATTCGAGAATTTACATCTGGGTTGCTCATGTTTGATGTACAAACTGATGTAGGAATACTAGATGTCTGATTCACAATTGGAACAATATACATGAAAATAATGAGTTAGTCCCTGGCGTTTGTTTTC